GTCATGATTCGCAATCGGATCGGATACGGAGCTCGCGAACGGACAGAATACGGATCAATCCGAATAATGTACTGCTATTTACTAAAAACGGTTCGCGCACGGTCCGTATGCGGTTCCTATTTCAACCGCGCGCGAACGCGGAGCGTCCGTAACGGATTGTTCGCGAATCACCTGTGCACATCTTCCGATGGAACTTTTCGCATCGAAATAGTCGGCCAATTTCAGAATTCCGACGACAGTTGGGTCTTCTAGAAGCGAATCTCCGTGGATGACCTCCAGGAAATTCTGAAACACGGACTCTCTAGGTCATCCAGAAATCGAGAAACGGGTCATTTAAAAATGAAGGCTAGAGACGCAGACGACGAGACACGCTGCGTCTCTAGCCTCCAAAACTTCAAAGAGCTATATCTCTGCTTCCCGATTAGCTAGAAAACTGATTTTTATACAGAATCGAAGGAAATGCATTTTTAAAATTTTTCGAAAATTCCTTTTTTTAAACCGGTTTCTGAATTTTTTTGGCATCTACTCAAAACTCTGAATATTAAAGTCGAAATGTCTACATAATTCGAAATTCTGTTTTTTCAATCTCGAATGTTTCGGACATTGAATTCATTTATCAATTCCGAAAATATCGTCAAATGGGCTAGTAATATTTTCAGTGGGACGCCTTTTTCTACATAACCGCCCGTTCGTTTCCGATTGTCTCTTTGTTTTCAGTCCACACACGGCTAGATAAACAAAACCACTGCCCGAATGGCAATCTGTTTTTCTGTGTCTTTCAAGTTTTTTCAGCATATTCCGAGAGCGTTTATGTGCCAACGCGCCTTTCATTTCCCTTTTCTTGCTTACATTCATTTTTGTGTGTTAACTGACTAGTGTCAAGAAATGGGGACTTACAAATTATCAGACACATGGTTTTAGAAAGCTTGTATCCTAAATTTTCATTTCGTAGACTTTTGAAATGTTATAATTTTGGTCGCTATTTAAGATGTAGTTTCAAAGAGGAGTCCAGAATTTTCGCTCCGCGTCACTTCGAAACCAGCCATTTCGAAACCGTGGTAATACAGGCGAATGGATGAATTTCAGACTACAAAAACAATTTTAGGGTTTTCAAATACGCTTTTTCTGATAGAACACATTCTGAAAATCCAAAAAATTCAAGAATTTTCTTCTTTTGAGAACATCAATATTTGGATTTTTTATTAGATTTCAAAATGTATTCTATCAGAGAAAGCGTATTTGAAAGCCCTAAAATTGTTTTTGTAGTCTGAAATTTATCCATTCGCCTGTATTACCACGGTTTCGAAAGGACTGGTTTCGAAGTGTTGCGGTTACGAAGTGGCCAGAATTTTCAATTCTTATTCGATGATTTTCCCAGGCTTATTTTTTAAAACAAACTGAAACATTAACTATAGTTCACAAGCAAATATTGAATCCTTATTTGTCTGAAAAATTCTGAACAACCACAACCTATAATCTATTCTAGCGACCTATGCACTTCTATATGTTTTATTATTCATGTTTGTAAATCAAATTTTATTCTGGAAAAATGTGTTCTCTCTTGTTTGCAGGTTGCTCTTGGTTCCGCTTTCCCTTGACGTTGAACTGTTCTTCGGCCTAAATAAATCAAGGAAGGCAGTGCAAGATGAAGAAGAAGAAGAGTTTTGGAAATTCTCGTCCTTTTTCATTTTAATCTTTTGCTTGTCCGCTCGTTGACCCAACCGCCCCTTTCCTCCAAATTCTCAATTCAATTCTCCCAGTCATAAACAAGTGACACACAAAGCGAAAAAAATCTCTCGGAGGAGAGAGAAATGGGAACTTGAAAAACTTTTCGTTTCCTTCCTCTTTTTGGGAGCTTCTGGTGTGTCTTTTCGTTTTTGACATAGTTTTTCAAAAAGTTTGAAACAATGAAAAGGTTAGGTGCCATATTTTCTAGGACATTTGCTAACTGCTAACTTTGAGCCAATTTATCTCGGTTTCTGTAAAAGATATGAAAAAGTTGTCTACTAATAAACTGTTTATCATAATATTACAAACATTTCATCAGTTAACAAAATTTTGATATCTTTCACAAAAAGCGAGATAAATTAGGTTAAACTTAAAGGGACCCTTCTATCACAGGTTTCGTGGCTCTCTCTCTCTCTCTCTCATTCATTCGGTGTTAATCAAATAAGTCAAATTCCAGAAAACTAATTCAAACAAAATATATTTCTTTATCATTCGCATTCGGAGGGTCGGAAAAAAACAGCCAGATTAGAAAACCATAACAATACCTTTAAACCCCTAGCTTTAAACTTTGCGACCATTTTTCTCAGTTCCTGTAAAAGATAAGTAAAAGTTGTCAACCAATAAATTGTTCAGCAGGGTTTCAGAATTTGTTTTGTTAGTTGACACAATTTGGATATCTCTCACAGGAAGCGAGATAATTTAGCTCAAACTTGAAGGAGAGCAAAGGTCTCATTGCTCTCTCTCTCTCTCTCTCTCTCTCTCTCTCTCTCTCTCTCTCTCTCTCTCTCTCTCTCTCTCTCACTCTCACTCTCACTCTCACTCTCACTCTCACTCTCGGTGTTAATGAGCCAAATTCCAGCCAAATCAATTTTCATTTAAGATTAGAAAACCATAACACTTTTTTTTATGTTTTCGAGAATTTATAAGATAAATTTTCTTTTTTAAATATTTTTTTCTTCAAGTATTTTCATGCTTTCTTCAAGTATTTTCATGCTTTGCCAAAACACTTTAATCGAAGTCGATGTTATTCTGTGTCTCGAAACTTACAGCTGCAATTATTTTCCCCCTCGCCAAAACTTCCTCTGATTTTCAACTTCATTCATCTGCCTCACGCCCACCAGCTTCCACAAGTTCTTCATTGTTTTTTCTCCTTTTTCACAAGTCGACAACTTTGACGTTAGCCCTCGAAAGTCGACTTCTGACCTTCTGAATATGTATATTTTGTGTTTGTTTTACTTCCGGACCACCGAATATTCCGTGTGGGAACGACACAACAAAAACTTACAAGTATGTATCATATAGCGTGTTATTGACAAAAAAAGTCTAGATAATTCCCTAAATCTATATCCCCTGAGACCTTGTCACACTCTTCTTCCAGTTCAAAAATATCTTTTTTCGCCCCATTCAACGAAGTCCGAACTGCCTTGGGGTGTTTCGAAGCTTCAAAAAAAAAGCGCTGAGATTGAGAGTATCCGAAATTTATCGGGCCATGCATTTGGCACTAGGCGAGCTTCCATCATCCACTTTGCTTCAAAGTACCTAAAAACGTCACTTTGTTTTTCACATTTTTTTTCGTCTTCTGGATGCCCCCTCTTTTCAACTAGTGTTCACATATTTTGCAGCGATTATCAGCCCAGTGACTCGATGTCTTATTTCCGTGTCTCGGCAAAATACTTAGAGGAAAAGGGCAAGTAAATGGTGGGAGGACATAAAAGCGTCGCGATGCATCATTTTCATATCTTTTGAAATAATTATTTTCCGGCTCTGGCTTTTACCTCAATTGGGCTCTCAGAAGTATACTTTTTCTTAGCCTTTATAAAACGTTAAAGATGGGGGATGGTGGTAGGGTTTTCTGAAAATCTGAAAATTTCAGTTCCGAAAATTCTAGAAGCCATTTTCTTTCTTAAAATTTGAAAGGGGGGGGGGTAGGGAAAAAACATATTTTTCTCGAAATTCCATCCCTCTAGGATTTGAACTTGTGGGATCACCGCTGGAGGTGCCGCGCCCCTATCCACTGAGCCAGGCTAGAGCAGGCTCCTGATGGCATACAAATACCGTAGAACCTGTATTAGAAGAGCTTCTATTACCTACTATTGCAGGGGCCCTTCAATTGGAGGGACCTTTATATTTTTCCGGGCATATTTCCCTAAAAATTATCATAGAAAAAGTCAAAGTTCTCGTTTTGAAATCATTTAAATCTGTGAATTCCATCAAAATTGAGCCAGTTTTTGAGCAAAAAAAGAGTGTTTCAACAGAGATTTCTAGATTATTTTTTTACTGAAAACGAAGTGATGTTTTTAATTTCAGGCCCTTCTATTAGAGGGGTCCTTCGCAGGGGCCTTTGTAATAAAGGTTTTATGGTAAGCATTGTACACCGTTACGACAGGATGCACACCCTAGCTTGAAGAAAACTCTGAAAAATCTCCTATCCCCCTTTTTTGAAAATCTGACGTTGTCTACTTTCTTCAAAAATTCTTTTTTTTCGGTAAACATCTAATTAGGATCCTACTAACAAAGTTAGTTAAGTCTCGAGGTAGAGAAGAGGTTCTTTACGAAAAAAGACTTATTAAATTTCGTCATCGGCAGCTGAGAAAAATGGGAAAAAAAAGAATGATTTTTACATTCTATTTTCGTCTAGTGCATGATTCTAATAAGATTATTTAAGCTTTTTTTTAAATGATGTTTATCAAGGTCTCAACCTCTAGCTTCTCTCTCTCTCTCTCTCTCTCTCTCTCTCTC